TCTCTCTCTCTCTCTCTCTCTCTCTCTCTCTCTCTCTCTCTCTCTCTCTCTCTCTCTCTTTTCCGGAGTTTTTATTGATCTATCTAACTTTCTAAATGCGTGCCAAATCACAAGCCAATTATGTCAAAGTTCTTCGTCGCGTGCAAGAATCATCGCAATTCTACGATTATAGTACCTTCGACGTGACGCCAGAAATTGATTCGCGATGTTTTCCTAAAAAAAGCGAAACGTTCCGTCCGCATGGAAAGAATGGTTTTGCTAAAGTATCTAAAAATTTAGTAAAGATCTGAAAATAATTTTGTTCAGACCATCAAGATAATTATATAGGATGTTTAAATTTCGATTGCTAGAATGTTAAAACTTTATGTAGTACTGCTATTAACACTTAAGCGTTTTATTAAATTTAATTATTTATAATACATCGTGTAATATGGTTCAATTAATATAAATTAATAATAGAAATATTGAGAAGGGCTACGAATCATAAGAAAATAATATTTAAATTAAAGATATATTGTAATATAATTGAGCTAAACAATAATACAACAAAAATAGCGTTTCGAGTCTGATCGGGTCATTCAGAGAAAACGTATGAATTCTTCAGATTCAGATTGCGATAATATTTCGAGACTCTTTTCTAAGTTATCCCGGCTTTAAAAGATCAAAGGCGATTCGTCTTGATACCCGCGCGTGTTCGAGCGCCTCTCGCGGATAAAGCGCCGGCTTTTTAAATCGACAGCATGCAGGAAATTGAACGCGACGTAAAACCGGAAGAATGGCGCAACAAGCGTGTTCCTCCTTATTGCGGAAGGGTAATGCCCGATCGCTCATCCAACGTTAGTTCTTTCAGTTCACGCCGGAACGCTTCGAGGCGCATAATTACTGGCGTCGACATCAGATATCATGACGTTGGCATTTCATCGGTGACGTCAACGCTTTGGGATGCGACCGAGATGACGCGCGATAGCGCATCTCGTTTGCTTGTAATCGCAAGTCCGGATCGAGAAGGAACTTTTCGATTTAAAAACCGAAATGACAGGGATAGATAAATGATATGCAACGTGGATCTCGCGCGCCAAAAATATTTCCACCGAAATAGACGGCGTTGAGATTACTGGAGACAGAGCTGGAAAAATAAATCAGATTTTTTTTTCTTCTCTCTTTTTTTTCGTCCGGTCTCCACGTTTGGGATATCTGTCGGGAACCTGCTCCGACAGAGGCTGTCGGGAGACCTGATATTTGCCAGGACACATACTGTTGCCACGTGTCAGCATCCCTCGGGCTGCGGAACATGAGAGCCATGAAATTTTCAGTCTACAGGGAAAATCTATCGCCAGACTTTTTTTTAAAGCTAGAGGCATACGGACGACACGAGGATAATTTGGGAACGTGCGGTTTTCAACGGCATTTTATATTCGTTCACTTGAGTCACATCTCTCACATCAGGAACATATTTATTCTGGTATATTCCACCAGAAACAGAACGCCTAATGAATTTTTTTTTAGATGACAGAAACGTTTCAGACATAATTTAAGAGAAAATGTACGCTATTATTATTCCGTTGACATAGATATGTGGGAATTATTATATTTGTAATAAGTTTTTGTTCCTCCAGAATAGAATTGTCATACAGAGTTGTCACAAAAATTCTTCATCCTAAAATTCCATAACTTTTCTCTAATTTCCAGACAAAATTTCATGATTTTCCCTGAATAATATTAAAAAATTTTTTGTATTATTTTTGTCCTAATTTAGAAAATGTTAAATATTTTATTGAGAGATCAATTTAACATAGCGATGTAAATTACTATTAATGTTGTTGACACTGCTTGCATTTTTTATTGTTAAATTAGTAGTCCAAAACTGCATAGGTGTCATGTATGTATATTAGATTTTTTTAAAGCCAAGAATTTTAATTTTCAGAAAATTTTGCAAAAATGTCTTTGATTTTTTCCTGATTTTCAGTTTTTTTTTAGCAAAATCCTATGATTATAAATAAGTACGGGAACTATAATAGTACAAGCGTTTTAAAGATTAGAATGTCAATAGAATAAATTGTTTGTTCCGTTGACATCCTAAGATGGAAATTAAGATTGAGATGCGATCTTAAATTATTAATAATGAATTCTCAAGCTAAATCATGCCTGGAGAATTCCTACGAGGAAGCATTGCATAACGTACATACAATGATTACGTTATAGGCACAACACAGGCAAATATATAGACATAAGATACATTCATGATCTCACTCTGTTTGTCGGTGTATCATTAAACCACGCCTACAATGAGATTTTAAGCGTGAAACTTAAGCTTAAACCTTAAGCCGTAAGAAATTGACCAATTACAGTCAAATGTGAGAAGAATAATCGACTATGATCGATCAATCTTTTATGGCTTAAGGCTTAAAACTTAAATTTTTTACCTTAAAATCTCATCGAAGACGCCACTTTACGTGTCGAAAAATTTGATATTTTATCATGTTGTCTTTGTATCGATATTAATAAGACGAACGCCATTATTAATATTTATCATCTTTTGTACATATTACCGCGCTAGTAATACCTCTGTAATTCGAAGTCTTAATGAAAAATCCTTCGTCGGCCTCGCGCTATAATTAGAGGCAAAATCAGTGCGGAGGTGGCATAAAATACACCGACGTATTGTCTCCGTTTATCGGTCCGCGTACTAATTGCTTCGCACGTTTTCAATTTATCTTCTCGCCTTTTCTCGCTTTCCGTTTTGCGAAAGAATATACCTGGTGTCTGGTGTGTCAATATTGATTTTATTTTTTTGGGTATGTCTCACGTCGCATCCTTTTAATCCTTAGGACACACGACGATTTTCGGTCCTTTACTACATACGATGGGTCATTCATGTCCCGAATTAATTTTTGATTAATGTACAAAAAATATTAAGTGATTACTTACTTTGATATCTTTAGAAAGCATTTGTAAGGTTGTGTGTTAACAAAATTAGAGATGCTCTTAAATCATCAAATTATTATATATAACTATTATATAACATTTATATACAATACAATTTTTTGTATTAAAAATAAAATTCTAGTTGGAAATGAACAAATCAGAATTTTCTGGTTAAATCTATTGAATTCTAATTAAGATAATCAGAATCTGATTGGATATATAATCAGAATCTTCTAGTTCGTCCAATTTCAACCAAACGTTTTTCTTAGTGTAAAATTGTTTTGCTTTTAACTGATAAGTAAAATTTTCTTGTTTAATTATGTAAATTTAATTTGCTGAAGGCTTCTCATTTTTAACGATGATAGACTTCCGAGGACATACCGTGCATCATAAAAATCACATTCTATCGTTAGCTTGAAATGCGACGTGCCAGCACCGTGGAAGATACGTTTTCTAGCGAAATATGGGTCCTGTTTGTTGGTGTAACCAGTGACGTCATTCGCCGACGAATGTACGTGTATGTACATGCGCAAATTGGCTGCGAGTATTTTCATCCGATTAATGGTACCTCGACTGCGAAATACAAACGCACGTTGCGTATTTCAAGGTGACGCAGGGCAGCTCTATGGCATAAAATGTCAGCGACTGAGACGCCTTCTTTGTCGCTGAGTGCAGCGTGTCGGTAGACAGAATGTTAAAAATACGTGAAAAAAAAAAAAAGAAAATGTAGCCTTTTTATTGCAGTTTTGTGATGACGGCAGGATCTTTTTTAAAATTTTCCATTTTTGTTATTATTTCTTCAATCTTTTCGAATATTTGTGCTCAGATTTAGAAGCACAAAGAAATTTTGTCTAAACAATTTTTCTTATTTCGATGTACTTAAATTGATTCTAAGATTTCAGTGCAGCAATTAATTATGAGAATTTACAGAAAGATTGAATAAATATACATCAAAAAGATATTATATCTTCTACATTTTCTAAGTATTTTATATACAAAATGCATCGAATATATCCAAGGATTTATGAGAGAATTCTAGTTCACATAGACGGTTTGCTTCGGAAGTCATGAAAGATTTTGTAAACATTAAGCATACTATAAAAACGGCATTGATTGCATATCGAGTGCATATACCGGTGGTAAAATGGCAAAGGGCACGGAATGTTTGCGCGGGAAACTGGCCAAAATGTTAGGAGGGCAACATAATAAAATACAATTTATTGGAGCCTATAATTTATAACAACCAACAACGTGAAGTGTTTTTCCGTATGCTATGTTGCATTCAATATTTAATTATAATTAATATTTCATTTTTCGATTCAGAGTTATAATGCAACTGCATGTAGAATTGCGTAGGATTTGCTGTAATTTACGATATAATCGAAAAGAGTAGAATTTCTGAAGAGAACAAAATAATTTTTTATTTCTAAATATTCCGAAATAAAAAATTTTTATTAAAAGAGATATCGTTGCAATAAAATGCATCTATTGAAAAATCAGATGCATTTTTTAATACGAATTTGCAACTTCAATAAAATATATATTATGTTGCTTTTAGTAATAATTAATCGCCAATGAATAAAAATAATATCCAATCGATCTTCGACATATGGAAATTTGTTGAATGAACTTTTCTTCGTGATATTTTATACATAAAATTTGTATTAAATATGAATAAAATATTTCTGCCTTTTTTTATAAATTTAGCTATGGCTTTTTTATAATACTAATTCATGTATTCACGCGAATTCATAAAATTTATTCCTTTGTTTTATAATGTTACTTATGTTTAATCTACAAAAGCTGGTATTAATTTTCTCTTGTAATATTCTCTTGTATTTCATGAATATTCCTATGTAAGGTTGATTTCATATTAAACTGATATAGCGTCAATGAAGTGCAAACAGTTTCTTGTCTCTTGCAGCGCTCTGTGGACACTCAAATTTATCTAAATTATCTCCGTTCCACATTTATCATATTTGTGATGGATAAAGGCGCCCTCACAACGCATCATATTTCCGCGAATAGAGCAGGTGAATGAGAACGCAGCTGCAGGAAGTAATGCGTACCGACGTGCATTTCTGGACCGGATTCGAAAGATAAACCGATCATTTATAGTTCTGGGTTTCGGCAAAGTTTCAGCGTGTAGTAAACGCGGCTGACAGGTGCCAAATTTTACCGTGGCGCCATAGTAAACGCGATCTGGCTCTAAATCATACCAAAACGGTATAACAAACAGTCGTATGAATAATAAGCGTGTTCCCGAAAGTATATGATGCAGTATAGTACAGGAGATGAATCAGACTGCACGGAAAAGACGATTCTGCTGAAGTAAAATAAAATAGGATAAAACAAAATCCAAGCACTCTTTTTCGATTTTGGTTTTAGATAAATCTTGGATAAACTGTACTTAGAGAACTCCCGATAATTCCTATATTAAATTTTATATGTTAACTTTCTTCGTTCCATACAGAAAGAACGGTTTTGATGAGGTATCTAAAAATTCAGCTAGATACAGATCTGAAAATAATTTTGTTGGATCATTAAAATAATTATGTTGGAAACTGATTGCTAGAATGTCGAAATAATTTGTAGCATTGTTTATTATGTTTCCTACGTAACTATTTTGATAATCCATTAAAATTATTTTCAGATGCATCTAGCTAAATTTTTAGATACTTCAACAAAATCGTTTTTTCCGTATGCAATTATGAAAGTTATAACATAGAACTTAATACAGGCGTTACCGGGAGCTCTCTAAGTTTATCTAAAATAGAGTGCTTGGATTTTATTTTATTCTATTTTATCGAGGCGTAGCGCCTACTGTTTTACTGAATACTAAAAGCTACTCGTACTTTATCGGAGTAAAATAGAACTTAGAAGTTAGAAGAGTCGCGATGGTGAACATGATGATTTCGGCGAGTTCTAGACAAATTTACAACTCGTTTGGCTCTAGTCAATATTTTACCTCGGCGAGAACGCGACGAGGATCATCGTCAGTATCTCGAGATAAACTACTTTCTTCCCGGTCGCCGTTTACAGGGCGCATTTACTTGAGATCTCACGTGTATTCAGTTGATGCTAAACGGGGCTCTAACCGTTGAGTAGCTATTATAGATGGCTACTTACGCTGGAAGTGCTTTTAAAAGTGGGAGAGCGGAGGCTTGCGGTAAGCAGGAAAAGCGAGTTCCGTCGACGTATCCGGTTATATAGAGCGGCATATTTTGCGATATGACTCTGCCCTAATGCGTTCGTCGATCCGATTTTAGTGATGTCTGCGTGAGATCATTTCTCTTATAAAATTATTGATAGAAAATTACAATTTAATGTCGTCGACTTTACGAGAAGCGTCTTTACTTTTTTTTTAATACAATTCAATGAATATACAAGTTAATAGTCGTATTCTGATATATACTGCCAGTATTGAAAGTCCATAGTATATGTAACGTGAACTATAGATTTTCACTGTACTGGCATCACATATAGAAACACGGCCAATATACGAGATAATCTATCACTGCAAATTTTAATACACATAATTCTTTGACGAACTTTTAACTGAACTTTCTTCGATGATAATTTAATAAACAGGGATTATTCGCCACAATTTTTCAACGTTTGATACAAAATGTCATCAAAGATAGTTCTGGAATTATAAGTCTCAAAGTAAATTCCCGAGTAAATTCCGCTTAGAATTAAATGGAAAGTAAGAGGCTTATCTTTCCTTTGTTCAACGCGCAAAGTTCATTTTGCAACGTAATTCGGCGATATGCAATCGTAAGAGACTTGATCGCTCTCAGTTATTAATGCCCCTCTTTTGTTTTTTTCAGGAGCGGGCGAGTCCGGCAAGAGTACGATCGTGAAACAAATGAAGTAAGTATAATCGTCTTAGCGCTTCGCGCTACATGCGCTAATTATCATTTGGAGGAGGGGGATTCTATTATTGAAACGTGATTACATCCATATGTATTGTTTATTCCTAACACACATCGACCGTTCCCGATTACACCAATTAAATTAAAACCAAGTTAACTACACGGAAAAAATAGATTAGCTGATTCAGCAAAGCTATAGTTTGCTGCGCGCGCGAGTTCAATATTTATAACTAAGAAGGTTTGATAGTTTAACAAAGAAATTATATGTCTGTAAGCAACTATTACTATGCTAATTCAATTAATTCTTGGCTACAATGAAAATTGCTAATGTAACAAGTTTTCTTCATTACAGTACGGAAAGTATGCGCCATTTTAGCTAGCACGTTTTGTTAAAAATTTTGATCTATATATTGGATTGATTTTCATAAAAAGTTATCTTTGCTGTATTAACAAAGCCATATTATTACAAATATGACTATTTATAATCGTTAATTTTCAGCTGTATAACTTTGTTAATTTAACATAGAAGAATGACTATATACTGGCTGTGTGTGTGTGTGTGTGTGTGTGTGTGTGTGTGTGCGTGCGTGCGTGCGTGCGCGTGTGTGTGTGTGTGTATGAATCAGTTTTTAGTTGTTTAAATATTTTTTTTTTCGTGTATGTAACAACTTCCAATTTACATTTGTCAATCTTGAAAAACTTTGGATTGAATAAAATCATTCAAACGATTGCGAGAAGCAAACTTGTAAAGTTTACGAAAAAATACAATTGTGGATCATACGGAAACTTACTCAGAATTATAGCGCACGCAGTTATGAGAATGATTCATCTCGTGCATGTATGTGCGTAATTAGATGAATTTTGGACTCGTTACCCGAGAATTTAATGGTTCTTCCACTGGAAAATGAGACGACACGAAGAATGCGTCAAGAACGGGTTGTGGATATAATGGTACAATGCGATGTCTGCAATTCTCGCATCCTTTGATGTTTCGCGACGTCACGGAAATGCTAATTTGCGAACACTCATCAGTCAGCTGCAGACTGATTATGAGAAATACTTTCCCACGTTCCTTTCCTGATCCTCGAATAGATCGCCAGATTTTTATATTTTAAAGTTCAGCTTTAATTGTTTTAATTCTAAATTCTATTCTGCGAACTTCTCTGTTTTTCATTATCTAAGTTATATAATATCTTTTATATGTAATCAGAATGTCTTTTTAAATATTTTTAAATTTTACGTAAATTATATTTGTTTTTTAATTTACCATATAAAACAAGTATATCTTTATTTCTAAAAAAATGATAAAAATATGTATTCTTATTTTATTCTTATTTTTTACTATTGTTAATAGTAATTTAATCCTGACTGTCTTTAGTTTTACTATTTTTAGCGATCAAATTTTCACTTAATCGATTTTTGTTTCGCGAGAGATTTATTCCATCCAAAAACGATGCTGCTTAAATTTGAATGATATAACTTAATAACTGGTCGGAAATGAGTCAGATTTCTAATTAAGTACGTTTCAGTTTGCTTACTAAAAGTTAAGTGACTTGAATCATAACGCATGCGCTTATTCACTTGGCAATTAAATTATTTAAGATTTGTTTCATTGTTTATAATAAAAGTATTTTTCGCTCGCAATTCTGCTACTTGGCTAAATCTTAATGATGATCTAAATCTTCTTAATTCAATCAAAATTATTATTAGGGATTTCATTGAAAAATATATATATAACAACTGTGCTAAAAAAGAAAGAATATCGCGCAAAATTATTGATAGACAAATTCACATGAAAAATACTTGGAAGATTGCGCATTTATTTATTATTTTATGTAAGTATTATCAAAAGGACATGATAGTTAAATCTCAGGGGTTAAGAGCTACAGCAAGTTGAAATATTAATGTTGCCAATATTTTAATCCATACAGTCATTAATGACTAATTGCGAGACGAAGAAAATAACAGGTTTTATTGTATGAATGTTAAATTCAAATTTAATTTAGAATTAAGTACGTTATCATGTAGGTTTAGAAACGTTTCTTTTTATTATGTATATTATTAGGTTATTATTAACATTGAAAATGATCTTAATGTATTGGTCGAAACGTATATTTATCATTGTTTATATGGATTAAAACATTGGCATATTTCAACTTGCTGTTGCTCTTAACCCTTGAGATTTAACTATTTGTCTTTATACAATTGAGTAATTATATTGATAATTTTTAATATATATATTATATTGATTATTTTTAAAAGGACATAATTTTTTCATTAAATAAATCTCAAGTCGCGTTTATATCCGAACTTCTTTACACTGTATTTTGCACAGAGAGGGAGAGAGAGAGAGAGAGAGAGAGAGGCGCAATTTTCTGAATTATCACTGCTGCGCTTCGAAAGTAAGCAGAACGTCGAATAATAGCGCGTGTCCATCTCTCGCGTGTGCAAATAATAGATTAATCTTTTCGCGTCCGTACATCGGCATTATTTCGAGGCAAACTGTTGCCTCGCCTCGAAGATCGATACTCGCAGTGTTACGATACGCTCGCGCGTATCCGAGGGCAGCAGCTGTTGCGTGATACGCGCGCTCGTCCGAGATGTTGGCACCGTATTCTCCTTCTCCCTCCCTCTTTCTCTCTCTCCCCTTCTTCCTCGTGTAGATTAGCATATTCCCTCTGTGGGGTGTCTCTCTCTTCCTGTGACCTGCGCCATGAATGGGCCCTGTTCAAGGGGTCCCACGAACAAAGTTACCGCTGTGCGTGCTCTCCCAATGGAAGGGAAGCTGTCAGTTGTGAATAGGGATGCTCTTCGTATCTAGATAGTATCGAGGAGCTTTTCTTTTTGATTCTCAGTATTTTTATTTTCGAAGTTAATTATATTTCTTTTTTTTTTAAGCCGGATAAAACATATTAGATAGAACATATTGGATAAAAATGCCAAAGATCTTCCATGGACTACAATTTCGAAATATTATTACTTCTTTATAAAGAAATCCTGATATATTATCAATGTTATATTAGAAAAAAAGAGGTTAAAAACGATAGATGTTATAGTTACTTTATCACGTTGTATAGGATTATACACGAAACCTAGAAAATTATAGATTCGTAATGTTCTTAAAACAAGCTTCTTTTCATACAACCGTATCTCCTGTACACCGCAGTTGCATAATTTATGGATGCGCATAATGCAAGGAACAGTCGGTACTCGAGACTAAAGTACGAGCGAAGCGTGATTTTACGCACACTTTTATGTAGCCGGTTTTTCTTCTCGCGTGCGAGCAGTCATAAATCTAGCGGCGTATGCGTGCGTATTACATATAGCGTTCTCCGTGTCGTCTCGTTAATATCGTTACTCTCGAAACAGCGAACGCCGCTACACTGTTTCTGTATCATTTATTAACGTAATGGACAATGCAATATTCTTTGTTGAGATACATATAACATACCATTAAATATTGTAACGTTTGCGCGATAGTCACTTCGACGATGGGAATTACATTGGAAAATATTGCTGTACAAATTATAATTAATATCCGTTAATTAAAACGTCCGGATTGCTCGCTCTTAATTTTTTTTACACCTAGAAAGGAAAATCAAGGATATGTGTTTAATAAAGAAATTAAAATTCTTCGAATGTTTGTACACGATGACGTATACGACAAAAGAGAATTAATTAATGCTAGAATAATATTGTACAAGTAAATTAACTTTTTAAAAGTCCTTCGGCTTCTCTTGGATGTAAATGTATATTATCTGAATCCAAATTTACATTTTTTTTAAATTATAAAAAATTTATAAATTATATAATTACATAAATATATCTAGAATATTTTTTCGCGAGTGATTATACCTAGAAAAGTATACTTAACCGCTGGTACGAACATAGATCTATTCCACGTAATGCTACACCATGTTTTCACTTGTATACATAGCGGCGCCGACTCTATAATTCACCTGTGTTGACTCCGAACATTGTTACGATATATATGGGCACTCATGTAAGTTACGGAGTGTAGCGCGCATTGCAATTCATATATGCGTTTACACAGGGTGCACTACGTGGCATATATTAATTCGAGCCGTTGCGCACGTGATACGCGTATATTATAGCGCGATTTCAAACTCCTTTGCGAGTGAGCCGAAGGCGCTTAAATCAAGTGGAGGATGTCCACGTGTCTACTTCATTCGAATCGTATCGAATAAGTACGAGTATCGATATTACACCTCCTTCGACACATATTCTGCTTTTCCAGAAAATTGCTTCAATCTTAAGTGTAGTCTTTTCCCTCTTTCCTTATTTTACAAGTAAATGTTGTCTTAAACTAACCATCCTTATCCTAATATTTACGAAGAGGAGAGACATCCTGTGTGCGTGTTTCACCTTGCGGACGTGCTAACGCGAGTGCGATTCTGCTTTCAGAATTATCCACGAGAGCGGCTTCACGCCGGAAGACTTCAAGCAGTACAGACCCGTCGTATACAGTAACACGATACAATCTCTAATCGCTATTCTCAGAGCAATGCCTAATCTGGGCATCAGCTTTTCAACCAACGAGCGAGAGGTAATGTGCATTTGTGTCTGTTCAAATACTTGAGAAAATAGGAGTTTGTTGTCGGGGAGAGATTCCGTAGAACTATAAATTTGAAATATAATACGCGTGATGCGCTACGCACATCTTAGATGTTACTTCAAAATAGGCGCTCTCCAGCAAGCGACATAGGTGACACAGTGTAACACAGTGAATTATTATTACATTCTTGTGGGTTGCTAATATTAGACAAAGATGAAATGATTCGCTGTTAAGCTATAAATACAGGTTGAAATAAATTCCTCATTCTAACATTCTATAACTTTTCTCTGATTTCCAGAAAAAAACTTCATGATTTTCTCTGATGCTTTTAATAATATGTTGAATTTTTTGTAGTTTCATCTTGATTTAGAAATCGTCAACTATTTGGTTGAGAGATTAATTTAATATAGCAATGTAAATTAATGTTGTTGATACTACTTGCATTTAATTGTCAAGTACATTCTAAAAAATATCGGTGTGGATTTAACACCCATGCGGTGTCTATTAATTCTCACTGTGTTGGTGTTAATATTAAAATATGATATGGATTTTAAATCCATGGTGTTTGATTAAAATCAGATTGATGTTATGATGATATTAAACTTCTTTAAAACCAAGAATTTTAATTTTTCAGAAAATTTTATAAAATTTCTGACTTCTCTGATTTCTCTGACCGTTTTCAGTTTTCCTGATATTTTCCTGATTTTCTTAATTTCCAGTTTTGTGGCAAACCTGTAATATTACGTCGTACGATAAATTTTTCAAGCATTTTATTGGCTACAGAACAGAAAAAATCTCAGATTTTCCTATCCTATAGTCAATCAACAGGCTTAAAAAATTTGTCGTACGACAAATGTAATACCAGAGCCTTACACTGTGTCATTTATGTCTCTTGTTGGAAAGTACCCAATAACTTCAAGGTAAATTCCTATTACGTTTGACACACGTCTGCGTTTCATTGAATTTTAAATTTAAATTTTTAACTTTGTTTTATACTTCCAGCTCGATCACGTCAATGTGTTATAGCACTTATTTATTAAAACGAATACAATTTTCTTATTTTCACAAATTTTTGTCAACAATTAAATTGGAAAAAGATCGGATTACATGCGCAGAAATCATCGGTAATTTACTTTTTATTTCCGATGTAATTTATTAACGATGTCTTTATATAGCTCATCCATACTCGAGATACATCCATGCTCGTATCGCTCATTTAATTTTAATGAAATGTCAAATGCAAAATTATGAAAACGGTTCAATAACACGCATATCAGTTGCATATATCTCGTATGTTATTTAAATGTTGTGTATCGACCATTTTAACTTGTGAAGCATGACATGACATCCAGAATGTGGTTTACTACATGCCGACGTTATCTAATGAATGGAGCATTCAACGGCGAATCATAACGTGTTGCCTGGTTGATTAGCCGTCTAAAGCGCGATCGTGTAAGGCGATCTGACTGGCCGGATACGTGCCCCCAAGATCGTACGAATAATTATTGATCATCTCTCCTTAATACCATACAACTCCTATAATTCTTTGCATGTGTGTGTGTGTGTGTGTGTGTGCGTGGAATAAAAGATCATAAAATATCTGAAACGAGAATATATTATAGATGAATTGTCAAAAATTTATTATGATTATTTGTTATATTTAAAATACAGTCATATAACATTCATTATGTAAATCATATTGATTTTACGCCAGAAATAAAATTCTACTTGGCACCTGCATAGTAAACAACATTTTGTATTTGTGTTGAAAATAGTTCACTCACAAATCTTTGTTAAAATATTGTGTGAAATTTTTAACATATTCGAGTGTTACTTTAACATAATGTAATTAATTTAATTTTTTATTTGATTAATTTAACATTATGTTATTTAAATATTTTGTGTTGAATTAATATTCACCATTTCTTAGTGTTAAAATAATATAATTTATAACAGTTAACAAATAACAATAATGTTTAAAAGTTTTAAGATGAATGAATAAAATACATGTTAATTGAACGTATTCTAAATGTTAATTTTACTGAAAAAATTGACTTTCACAATTTACTTACAAATTATGTTAATGTTACATTTTTGTCTTAATTTTTTTACACAATATTTATGTTATTTTCTGACATATTTCTTTTGTGTTAAATTAACACAAAAATTTTGTTTAAAACAAGTGAAATATGTTAAAGTTAACACAAATTTTTCAAATGTGCGTGCAAACTAGATTACAAGGAAAAATTCGACTAATTATTATTTATTATTATTTTTTCATTAATTATTATTATTTTATAATAGTAGAGTAATTAGATATTGATGGGAATATATCGATGCGATAAGAATATTTCGGGTATAAGGATTTACATGTTTTTCGTGCTTCCAGACGGACGCAAAAATGGTATTCGACGTAATACAAAGAATGGAAGACACCGAGCCCTTTAGCGAAGAATTGCTGGCGGCTATGAAGAGGCTGTGGTACGATAATGGAGTGCAGGAGTGCTTTGGTAGGAGCAATGAGTATCAGTTGAACGACTCCGCAAAATAGTAAGTGGCGACCATTCTTTGAAGGAATTAAATTCAACATTTTTTAATATACAAAACAATTAATAACTATAATTTCGAAAAATATAATGGTCTGTTTAATTCGGCTGCAAATTATCAGTTAGAAATTTATAAATTATGTATAAAGGGGATGCTTATAAATTTTGTTTAAATTGTATTATTTAAGCGAAAATTATTTTGGGAAATATAAAAAAATTTTGTAGCAATAAGAGAAAATAGAACAATTTGGAACTTGAATTTTAAATCCATTCTGCAACAAGTCATATTACCTAAGTCTTAAGAAATTGACCAGTCATAATCGATTGTTCTTCTCACATTCAACTGTGACTGTGTCGATTTCGTACGGCTTAAGGCTTAAAAGCTTAAGTAACAACTTGTAGTAGAATGTGCGTTACTCTTGTGGATTCGTGTACTCGAAAGGGCGTGTGCGTGCGGAGGGTAGCAGGAGCAAACCTCATCCTGAACGTGAGACTTGTCGTACCTCCTCTCCTTCTCGATGCGTTTCGCAGGCATATTTCCCCCTTCGTTGTGGATATTGATTTTGTAGTAGCGCTTGTACATCTCGGTGTGGTGCCGTTTTCCAATACTTTCATCAGTTATCTTCGTTAAGCACATGTTTTTTTTTATTACGGGATGCTTTTGAGCGCGTGTAATGATTGCGGATCTATTCCCCTCGATAAAGTCGAATCAAAACATTCGACAAGCGATCCGTCGATCGCAAATAACGCGATTAAAAAAAAAATGAATTCGTTTTTCCAACGTTCTCCGCGAGCGACTATTTTCGGGGAAAAATTGAAAATTGCCACAAAACTGGAAATCAGGGAATTGTTAGGGAAATTGAAAACGGTCAGAGAAATCATGGAAAAGTCGGGAAAATTTATAAAATTTTCTAACAATTAAAATTCTTGGCTTTAAAGAAATTTAATATACGTTATACCTACGCAATTTTGAAAAATATTATCAATTTAACAATTAAAGAAATACTATCGATTTAACAATTAGAAATGCAAGCAGTGTCAGCAACATTAATTTCGACAAAATATTTAACGTGTGTGTGTGTGTGTGTGTGTTTTCCAAATTAAAACATAAATACAAAAAATTTTTAAATATTATTGAAAGTCGGGAAAAATCATGAAACTTTGTTTAGAAATCAGGGAAACGTCATGGAATTATAGAATGAGGAATTTGTGACTCTTCTTTGATTACTCTACTTTTTACTTTTTACGAAAGTAGTACTACATGATAAAAAGTCAATGCACTCATATTAAGATTAAAGAGACAAGGAAACAGTTTCTACGTTTGATTTATCCGAGATTTTTACTTATAATCTAACTCATTTTCACAATCTAAGCAAGATAATTTCGTACAAGCTTCGCCTTTTTTTTCATGAGAGATCCCCTTACTGACAATGAAACACGAAGAGAAATCAACGCGTTGTATAAACAAGTTGGTCGCGAAAGATCTAATCGCGCGTAATCAGGGTAGTATGTATGCCACGTCGTCGTTGTGTGTCCACTGTTGCGAGGTCCTGTCGCTAACTATTAGCAACAGGACTCGATTGGGGCATACGTGTTCTGTCGTTTGCACGCAATACGAGCGGCGACGGTCTTTTTTTTCCTCAACGCCACGCCGTTTTCTGGCGCCGTTCCTAACTTTAATAAACCGCACTGCGGTTTCGCACCGGATTGCACGATATTGCATACAGTACACTTATTGCACACGCAAGTGCGCGCGCTCTCTCTCTCTCTCTCTCTCTCTCTCTCTTCCTTTTTTCTCTCTTTCGCCATCATTTAATATCATTCACTGAGGAAACCCTTATCGCCCTTAATAATTATGTATAACGAAAGTCGATGCTTTTTCGATAAGACCGCATGATATTCGCAATTAAAGTCGTGAAATATGCAAAATACGAATCTACTTTTCAATAATTACATTAATTATTTGCATTCGACTCGCTTAAAAATATATATATTTATGATTATATTTGTATACATATAGAACACAAATGACCGTGCTGATATTAATAGATTAAATTTACAAATAGATTAGTGCCGTTTGGCATTTTACGATAAAACAGTATCACGACATGCTATTAATCTTGGAAATCCTTTGTCGAAAAATTGGAAAAAATGGGCGAAAAAGAAATTTTGCCTCTGCTTGCAGCAAATGCCATATGTCGAAACATTATATACGTTGACGCAAAATCGCGGTAAATTCTCGAATTGAAATTTCTGAATTTTCGGCAAGAAAATTTTTCCACTCTCAATTTGCTTATAATATTCCTAAATTATATTCACGATGTAAGATAATTTTCGTATTCGATATTCTGATGTGAGGAGAACTCAATCATAGTTCGGTTCGTTCGGTTCAAAGACTCATCAAACGTGCAGGTCTTCTGAAATCTGAAAAATGAACATTTCGAGGGAAGGGATGAGATTTCTTGAATAACCCTTGGGAACTCCGGCTATATATATATATATATATATATATATATATATATATATATATATATACACACACACACAATATATATAGAATCGCAGCGGGAATTTCGTTTCGCGCGCAGGCCGGAAGAGGATAACGTGAATTTCCCGAGGGGTAAGTGTTGGGAGAAATGCGACAGGTTTGTCCAAAGACAGGGTCGTGAAAAGGAGGGGGGATGATACGATGGGGGGGAGCTCTTATAGTCAAAATATTACGAGAAATACGCTCCTTTCTCTGTCCTTTTCTCTTCTTTTCTCTTTACCGCCTTCTTCGGGGATTCTCTTCCTTTCCCTCGTGCGCACCTCGTCATTATTGATCGCAGATGACGTCACGCCACGCCCGTGTCACGTGGCACGCGACCAAGATGGCCGATCGGGTTCCGGCGAAACTACACCTCCTCTCCTATTTTCTGACCAGTTTATTCGCATCTCTCTCCTCTCTTCGCGTTTTCTTTTTTTCTCTGTTGCCGGAAATATCTAAACTCCTTTTCCCAGGGGGGTGTTACCAGGACTCACTCGATCGTCTCGGCTTTGGTGTGTCTTGAATAGTCGAATTTTTCATGGCAGCCTGATTTCCCTGTGCTTCGATCTTCGCTTCCATTTCTTGCGCACTCTCTTTTGCTCTCTCGCTTGCTCCTTCATATTCTGGACCCTTTCGCGTTCCATCTTCTATTCTACTGTATTATCTTGTTTGCATTTTTTTTTCTTCCTCTCTTGTCAGAAATTCATCCATCATTGGATCTCTTCATAATCAACTTCTGATTAATCTCCTTTCTCATCTCATTCCTTTTTTTTCATTATGAAAGCTGAAAGGAATCTTGCAACTCTCATCTTGCAAAGTTGCAACCCCTAAACGCCGTAATCAGATGTCTAAAAAGATGGCGCTGCGTGGTTTTTCCTAACCTTTTACTTTTCCTTTCGCTTCTTGGAAAATGTATGGATATGCGGCGATTCTTATAACCCGCGGAATAAAAAATTATTTTAATTATTTTAACGATTATCTAAAATGATATTATCATATGATGGTTTTGTTTCGAAAAATAATTATCATTTTTAGCATCTATTATAATATTCTCATTGTTGAATATTTATTGTTTAGGTTATCATTCAATATTTAATACTCATACTTAATATCGAGAAATATTAAGTTAATGGAACTATTTATTTAATAATTTAATTAATTTATTTAATAATTTAATTAGCAATGAAGCTAATAATTTAAATGTTTCATAAATTTTTGGTCATTTGTTTGAACATTGCTATTAATTCTGGCAAATATCCTATAATATATTGTGAAACAATATTCTAAAAAAAAAAAGTAATTGGATTTGATTGTTACACGGAAAGAACGGTTTTGCTGATCTAAAAATCTAGTTAGATATAGATCTGAAAATAATTTTGTTGAATTATCAAAATAATTGTGCAGGACGCTGAAACTGATTGCTAGAAAGTCAAAACTTTTTGCAGCATCAACATTTAGGCGTTGTACATAATTAATTTAAGGATGCAACAAAATTATTTTCAGATCTGTTCTAAATTTTTATATCCTTCAGCAAAACTGTTCTTTCTATGTACTTATTCGCGGCATTGAATTAATAGTGCCGATTTTGTGAACAATCGACGAGAAACTTCCGAGGCATTTGCACTGGCGGAAGCATTTCCTCGTGGCTAGTTCGCACGGTAGTTTACGAAGACCCGATTACAGTAACACCATTTATTATATCCGCTCGCTTCCAGCTACTTGTTGCGAGCCGCGCCCTAACTCCTACCTTAACGCTCTCACTGTTCGAAATTGAATCTGGATTTATTGTATGTATAAACAGAATTTATGGCGAATGAATCGATAATAATCGTTCAAAAAATTATTGACTGTACAATATACTTCACGAAGAAATCAAGATCAAAGATGAAAACGCTCATGTATACGAAAAAAACCATATTTGTAAAATAAATCGAAATTAATTAAAGAAGAAAATTATTTAGTTATTTTAAGAAATAGCGAACAAAATAAAATATTTAATACGGGAACAAATTATACGACATAATTATTTGCCGAAATACTTTGGATATGGAAATATGTAAACGTTATGTAGGGGATGGTCACCGATACTGACATACCACTTTGTTTTTAGACAATATTTCTTAAACAAAAAGTAAAAATACAACTTCAAAAACATAAATACAAACTAAAAAGTGTCTTCTATCAGATAGTATAAGCAGTTTTTATAATACTGTTTGCAATTTTGCAATAATTAAGTTTTTCGTAAGTTATGCAAAAATGAGCGTCTGATAAAATGGGCTCCAAAACTGACATAGTAGGCAATATATATATATAATGCTAACATTCCTATTCTATAAATAAAGATATATCCTATTCTGTAAAAAAAACTAATTTATGAAACTATAAACATCTTTAAAATGATATAATATTATCAATAATACAGTCACTATTATTTTAATTACGCAATTTGCAAAAGAACACCGTAAGAATTTTCTTTTCGGATTCATAGAATTTGTTTTTAGCTGATTTGGTATAGAAATAAGCCACAAATATATGAAAATTATGAGTTTGTACTTCTTTAATTAGCTAAACAGATCACGTTTTTATTAGATCTCTATTATTTATATCTTCAATTCTGCAACGTTTTTTTTATAAATTCATCGTTCTTTACAGCTTTCTGGATGACTTGGATCGATTAGGAACGAGGGATTACCAGCCAACGGAACAGGATATTCTCAGAACCCGAGTAAAAACGACGGGAATCGTGGAAGTCCACTTCTCATTCAAAAACCTCAACTTCAAGTAAGTCAAGATTTTCTGATTATGTTAAATTAAATCAGAATTTATATTAATCAAAGTAAAATAGAACAATAAATCATGCATTGTAATAAATTTACATTTGAGTTAAGATTTTTAATTAGTATTGTTTTGCGGATGATAACGATATCAATCGTTGTTGCTTCATTTATGTGTCGATTTGTTTGTGTAATTTCGCGAGCGAGCGCGGTGCTTTGGAGATGCAAGGCGGCTCCGTTATGAATGGTCGACGTGTGAGTCATTACCGTGATAATTTGAGCATTTACTTGGAACGAAGCCGAACGATGAGTCGTATGTGCCGATGCTTCTTTCCGTTTGTCATGGAGGATTGAAAATTAGTGTCATTAGCGGTTGAAACGCGTGTTGAGATAATTATACCTTCGTTAAAGCCACCATACTGGTTTTTCAGCGATATCAAGTGTCGATTGAGAACTAATTAGATGACACGTGCATAAGCTTGTGACGACTGCAGACATTGATGTTTTGTTGATTATCGAGATTATTTTCTAATAATATCTTGATGAAATAGTAATTAAAAGACTCAGAGACTAAAATGACAACAAATTGATTTTATCTTTTTTTTTAGATTATTTGATGTAGGTGGTCAGAGGAGTGAGCGTAAGAAATGGATACATTGCTTCGAGGATGTAACTGCAATTATCTTCTGTGTGGCAATGTCCGAATACGATCAAGTTTTGCATGAGGACGAAACGACGGTAAATACGCTAATATTTATCCTTTCTGAAATATTCATAATATTTCATTTTCTTTTTACTTGGATATTCAATTGAACATTTATTAATACGTTCGATCTGAACTCAATCATGAATTTCTAATTTAAATTTTTTTTAATAATTTTAATGTGTTTTATATTTTATATGAAAAATCATTAATGTTATTTATATGTTGCATTAAAATATAATAAAATCACATTCTGTTAAGAAAAAGTTAAGAGACATCGAATCTCGGTGTTTTTATCGCAGCTAATATATCATGTTTTTAAATAAATACATAATTATAAACGAAGCGAAAAAGCAACGTGTTTTTAATCCACGAAACATGATAAAGACAGTTCTTCTTATTGCGACTGTAAATGCGCGCATTCATGAGATTACCTTGAGAATCCGAGATAATCAGCATTGGACACGGTTGATGTATGTATGCAGGGTTGAACGTACGGCGATCCGTCAGAAGAATATCACATCCAAATTAGGAATGCGACAATACACGTAACTGAAACTCCGAGGAATCAAGGGATCAATTGCCGAGGTCGCTACACATGGGAAGGTTCCGTTGAACTCTCCACTCGCATGCGATAGTGACACACGCGTGTCGTCGTCCTACCAATGTTAATTCCCATTACGACGTGCATCTCGTGTCCTGTATACCGGTCCATCGTAGTCTCTACTGATTATGCGCGGGGAGCAAGTGTACCACGTATCATGTCCGCTAATAAGGATCGCTTTAAATATAATATAATATCATGTTTGAGGAGCGAGTTTCATATCACGGACTTGAATCATTCGTGCTATTTATATAATCCAATGTGGTTGTTACATAAATGTATCTTTCTTGATTAGCCTTCTGCATTTAAGTGTTTTGCAGAAGAGAGAATGATGAGAATGTCAAGGGAAATTATACGAATATCTCACGTAAACGAATGAGAATGTAACTAGTCCTTTTGATGTTTTACAGAACCGAATGCAAGAGAGCTTAAAGCTGTTTGATTCGATCTGCAACAACAAGTGGTTTACCGACACCTCGATTATCCTTTTCCTGAACAAGAAGGATCTCTTTGAGGAAAAAATCCGCAAGTCTCCTCTTACAATCTGTTTTCCCGAATACGCTGGTAAATTATATATTAAAATACATGCTATTGTTCTAATTTATCATCTTACAACCAGGTTAGCTAATGAAGCGTTGAATGCTCGTCGTAGGTGCGCAGGCGTACAGCGAAGCGGCTGCATACATCCAGGCACAGTTCGAAGCGAAGAACAAGTCGACCACGAAGGAGATTTACTGCCACACGACCTGTGCCACCGACACGAACAACATTCAATTTGTGTTCGACGCAGTCACAGACGTCATTATCGCCAATAATCTGCGCGGCTGCGGTCTCTACTAGGCTAATTCTGTATTCTACGTTAAGCGCAAACGGAGGAGGAAAACGTTACCCACGACATGGCTGGCCGGACGATATTCTTCAATGGGTTCGTGGCTCGTCTCGGTTCTACTCCGACGCGAGAAAGAGAGAAGGAGAGCGAGAGAAAGAGAGAGAAAGACGACCCCTTTCGTTATCAACGCTGTGCAGAAGCGTAGCGAAACGTTTAGTTTGTCTTGTCTTATACTAATGAATCCGAGAAGTCGATAATCGTTCGTGGTGTCGGTCGAAGAAATGGCACGCTCCTTGACGAAGGCAGCGAGAAAGAACGATCGATTGCGGGAGAGAAACGCGTGCTCTAAGAACGAGACGGTGGGCCATCGTTGGCTCCGATCATCGGAGAGAATTAGATGTCGTTTTCGCAGGAAACGAGATCGAAAGCGATCGATTGGCGATATCACGACTTTAGTATATGTGCCGAAGAAATGAAAAGGATCTTAGTTAATCGTGCTTGCATCCGATCGTCGACGGTGACGAAAACTGACGGGTCCTGTACAAAATTGAGAGAGTCGCGGACCGTTTAATCGAAGCTGGCCATCGATGTTAAGAATCGTCGAGACTTGTACTGCGATTTTCGGCTTCGTTCTTGTTTCGCTATAGAAACGCTCGAGCATTCCATGACGCTCCATGCGGAGGAAGAGAGGAAGAGTCACGCGTGCGCGCCGCGCATACGAGTCGAAATCTTTTCCCACAATTTTCGCACACAGATTTTACTAAGCGCACTCGAAGTTCGGTTTATATATACACATATACACGTTCATATATTCTCTTATGTCTCTTCTTTCATCGAGGAGCAAATTCGCACGCGATCGAACGTATCTCTCGAAAGCGTCGACATGCGTTTTCCCAGATTTGCATTTTGATAAGCGGAGAGCGATTGAAGGACAACGCGGCAAATTTTGTAAGAGAGCAACGCGCGGTGTCGATATCGCGAAGTATCTCCAAGCTCAGTTGATTACTTCTCGTAATATAACGGTTAGATCCTTCTATTTTTATTTCATGTCATTTCTATACGTCATGCAAATTATCACGCAGTTAATACGACGACCACGCACACGGGGTATTCCTAGGCACAGGAACCTTACAGCCACAAATGTCGATCCATACGCACATACACGCGCATAAATTATTTTTCACGGTGGAGAAATTTATTCCCTTCGTTAACGATCGTCGACAGAGTGTCATGTACAGTATACTTTTAGCGCACGTACACGAATTTCAAGTATATGTAAGAACGCGTCGACCCTTGAAATCCTTGTGACTCTGAAATCATTCGTTCGTATGATGAAATTTTCTGATAGGAATATTATGAAAATGAAAAGTCACGCAATTTCTACGCGCGAGATAATCCGCATTATCTTACTCGCGGATACCGAGGGAAAAAATTTTGCGGAATAACGAGACTTCTTACAATTAAAAACGATTGTCGATAGTTTACTGACAATGAATCCAAGATTTTCACGTGGACGCTCCGTGCGTTCGAGCAGGGACACGTATGCACGTACTTGTGTGTACACAATTTTTGAGACATCCTGTGCACCCGCGTATGCGGCGCTGCAGCGATTCGCGGGAATCCTAAGAGTGTATTTTTCTAAGTGCTTCGTTTTTCTTCTTTTCCGTTTTTCTTTTTCCTACGGGGTGTACCGACAATACTGATAGTTAAATTCAGTGTATGGAAAGAGAGGGATGGGCGAGGGAAAGTGTACGAGAGCATGCACACATGGGACCTCACATTTAGGCGCGTGCAAGACACGTACGTTTCCGGGACAGGACAAGTAAGAATCTCGTTGCGCACAATCGTACTGTACTCGGCGCTATCTCGCATAAGTTATATTTTATTATATGGTAACCGTTGGGGGAGATACCAGCGAGAGAAAACGAGCCACCGATGATCAGCATCGTCACATTTCGATACTTCGATTGCTTTCTCGTCAGAAAAGGAGAAGCTGAAGGGATGATAGGAATAGAAGAGAAGTAAACGCATATGGGGCCTACGCATGAAGATTGTCATATACAATTCAATATACTAGGATGTTTTTGACAATGTCATGAGTCAATGTACAAGGATAAACGGCATACGTTGTTGAAAACAATTACGATAAATCTTTGTACGTTGTTTTACAACTCTATCGGAAATACGGAAAAAAAAAATTATTAAAACAACTAAAAGCTTCACTGATTCAGCAAATCTACGTAATATACAGACAACTAGTTTTCTATGTTAAAGTAGCAAAGTTGTACTGCTAAATAAAATTAGTGATTATAGATAATCATATTTGTTGTAATAGCACAACAGATTTGTTAAAAAAAAGAATACAGGAAAAATAACTTTCCTTGAAAATCGATCCAATATATATACCAAAATTTTTTACAAAACATGCTAGCTAAGCTGACGCATACTTTTGCTACTATAATGACGAAAACTTGTTACATTAACAGTGTTCAGCAAAGAATTAGCTGTATTAGCACACTGATAATTACAGATATGATTTCTTTACTGAATCATCAAATCTTCTTAGTTATCGATGTTGAACTCGTGCAGCAAGCTATAGCTTTACTGAACCATTCAATTAATTTTTTTCCATGAACAGTTATGGCAAGTTACGATCTTTGTGCTCAAGCCCTGTCGGGATCAGATGACGAGAAGTCGATCGTTCGAGATATCAGAGATCCTGTTTCGACAGTGATTCTGGTTGAGATCAATACAAAGGTCTTTGGAATAAAAAGATCAAAATCACCCAAAAAGGATAGATGGAAAGCGCGAATTCATGATATATCGAGGGCTGACGAATGTAATTGAAGCAAGGCTCGAAAATAACGGCCGCTGATACTTGTGCTCGTCTGATACTTGAAGAAGGATGCACTCTCAAATGCTTGAACGATACTTGAACGATACGACCGTTTGAAAGATATTTCTGAGATAATTTCTAGATCTCACAGGAGAGTTCATACTGTATACTCTCTTCAGAAGTGTTTTGTACCGTTGGTATCGCTCGCGTGGACCACGAACCGCCATGATTTATAGCAATGTGACGAAGTATCGATACTTTAGAAACGAGCCTCGAGTGTGGCAGCAATGCTATTTATTAGCGATCTTAAATTATTTGATCTTTAATCTTTTCAAGTATCAGACGATACCCGACGCTTCTAAGCTACGTTACTAGTAGTCAAGTAGATGGCATTTGAGGCGTCATCAGTGAGACGAGTTAATCGTACTTTGTGACTTTAGCTAAAGTGACTTAGATAAAGTATTTATACGGAAACCAAAAAGAAGAAATATGTGTAAGAAGTCTCAAACGTACCAAATAGCGCGTGCCAATGCGCATGATTTAAATTTTAATCTAGCTACGTTAGGGTATCGTGGGGCCCAGCAAACTGCGCTTTCTGTCGAGAGAGTGATTGAACACGATGGGATTGACGCTGTGGTCGTTGTCGCAAGATATGCGGATTCGACCGATCATAAACATCGGTTTCTAGCGTTGATAGAAGGTTTACTTTAACTTTAAATTATCGTATTAACTACTAACAAATTTAGCTACTGTGACTGTTCAAAGAGAATCAACTGTGCGGCCGAGACTTCGATCGATTCATTAGAGGAGGCAGATCGCTGTCGATTGCGATGTCGGTCGAATCCGGCTACTCACGCGCGACTTGATTACTGTTACCGTACTGACAATGGAACGTGTTACATTGCAAAAGTGATATAAAAAAAACTAACGTTATCAATCGAAAGTTCATATTTGAATTAACTCTAGATGGTCAAATCTAGAATCGCATGAATTCTGTATCCGACTTGGGCTGGAACATGTTTGATCATTTTAACTTAGACATAAAATATCTCGAGCAATGCATTTTTGAAAAAAAATTCAAGTAAAAGTTGTAGAGTTTGAAGAGGACCATCAATTGAGCTATTTAAATTTTGAGTTCATAGCTTTATTGGGTTTCAGTGGGCTCAAAATTTAAGTAACTCATCTGATGGTCTTCTTGAAAAATTCTATTTGAAATATTACAAATTTTATTTGAAATATTTTTTTAATGCATTGTTTTCGAGATATTTTGTGTCTTCAGTTAAAATGAAACATGTTCCAAACTAAGTCAGGTACAGAATCCACAGAATTCAAGATTTGACCATCTGAAATACCTATTTTAAACGTGATCTTTTGACTGGTAACATTAGTTTTTTGATATCTTTTTCTAATATAGCATGTTTCCTTGTGAAAAAAAATGTTCTGATTAAACTAACAAAAATGTCATTCTTTTTGGGTCTTTTTCTTGATTTAATCAGAATATTTTTCTGACTGGGTATATGTATAAATGGTGAACGCGTGAAATTGGGAAAGCGAAACAGGAAACAAAATCGAGCAAAAAAACGTCTGAGAGACGTCTCGTCCGACGAGAGCCAAAGATTCACCTCTCAACGTTGCTCGATTCGTACTGATTCCACACGAATCTAAGATTTAGTGAGAGATCAAACAACCCGCGGCGTAACGTAACTAAATCGAAATCATGCGTGAAGATGATCGTTTTTCGGCTCTAGTCAATCTATCGATGAGCTCGTCGACGACACATGTCGGTGAAATTGTTTTACCGAGAATATATTTAGGAGAGAGGGAGGTCTGGGAGGGAGGAGAGTTCACACGCGTTAATTTAAGTGAAATGTTCGTAGATATCAAGTACGGGGATCGTGAACAGGAATATATGAGACTATATTTGTAAGTCTACCGATTTACTGCTAGCTTGTACATGATTCAGCATTAAGAAGCGATATAGGCGATGTTTCTGTATGCAAGATGCATGTTTCCTTGATGAGTGCTTAGACGAGATACTTAGGCGAAACGGACGGTTATACGGGAGCGAATGGTTTGCGATAAACTAGTAAAAATACAGAACCATTGCGAAACAGGAAGTGGTCATGAGTACTGGCTTCTTTCGGCAAGGTTGAAAGAAAGATCTATAAAGCGAGTAACCCGTTCGACGTATTGCCTATTGGCCTTGCGATATGAGAGACCGACTATGGCTACGTTTACACCGTGCGCTTAATCCGCGACTTATGCAATAGATGTCCTTGTTTAACCTACAGAATAAAGATCGGCGGATCCGATCAGAAATTAATTGATAAGACGACGATCGTAAAAAGATGGTAGACGAGATCGAAAGACAAGCGATCAGTTGATCGCGCTGCGGCGAGACGGGTGGACAGATATCTCGAGTCTGTATATATAATATAATTCTATAATATATAATAATAATATAGTATTATGTGTGATACTATATTAAATGTGAGTAATATACGCTCGAGACTCGCGGGACCACCCTGTCGCATATTGCTGCGTATCGTGCGTAAGGGCCTGAGCATGAAGATTGTCGAAAACAATTACGATAAGTCTTTTTACGTTGAGTTACGATTCTGTCCGAAATAGTTACGAGTTACGACAATCTTTTTGTTCAGTACTCCGATTCTTTTATGCCCATTTCTATCAATATAATTTAATTTGAATCTCTCGGTTCAATCAATTCTTTATTTTTTCTGTTTCTAAGAATTAGAACAAAATGAAGAGTAAATTGAACAGTGATTAAAGTTAATTACATTGGCAGAAATGGGCATTAACAACATTAGACTTGTTTCTTTTTAACAGAACTTTTTGCACTTTTTAACTGAATTTTTTTTTATTCTCTAACGTGAAGAGAAAAGGAGGAGAAGTAAATCATGCAAAAAGTTCAATTAAAAAAAAGAAGGCTAGTGAACGGTATCGTTATATAGTGTTGCGCAGGTATTATATATGATAAAAAGTAATGCAACGACAATATAACGATATCGACACTGATGTTAAAATTATAGAATCGGGATACAGCTCTTAAAGCATAAAGCTCATGCCGCACGATCGGATCGACGAGTCTCACCACCCCGTTTCTTTTCGCGTCTTTCACTCTGCTGTTTCTCATTGCACGCGTGTTTAAACCAGTAAGCTCTATAATATACTGGAGCAATCCTTCCTTATACCAAGCTATAGAAAACTGTGACCCGATGAAGAAAAAAAAGGTAGACAATATTAGTTTTTCTGACTCATTTCTACTTATGGTAGTAAAACAGCATTCGCCAATCAGCGAATCCCTGACAAAGAAAAAGAGTACCAACTTTAAATTAGAATATTCTTGTTTAGGAATTGAGACACCCTCACTCCTCGATGGCTCGCTCCAGTATGTTATGGAGCTCACTCGTATAAGCGAGCTCTCTCCCTTCGAGGCACACTTCGCGACGCACATTTCATTTCGTGTCACCTCACATTCGTCTCACAACCGATCGTAACGGGCTTCATCATCGGACTAAGCGCGATGATCCGATATCGGATGTCGTCCGAAATAATTTCGCCAGGGTGGCCTAGTTCGTGCTTCAACATCGGGAAATCGAAGTTTTCCTTCTAAGCGATTTATTTAACGACGAAATATTTCACGATTCCAAAATTGTCTATGAGAGACGTCTGAAAAATTGCGGTACCTTTTTAACATCTTCATGTTAAACATTTGTGATAAAATCGAAGATTTTTTATCGTTTTTTTTTTATTTTATTCTATTTTTGTTTATTTTATTTGTGTAGAAGGAAAAACAGCGATTATTTTTAATTCACCGAGGCGTTTTTCCGGACAGTCTTTATTCAGGTGTGTCTTAGAGAAGTTTTATACGTAGCGTTATAGCGATTGCGCGCAATGATTCATGTCATTTTCATATCAATCTACAAGTTGCGGTAAACGGGAAAAACAGCGCGAAAGAAAAGTCGCTTAGCGCGATCGCGATTTTATTGACGAGGTAATTTGATCAGGAGTGTAGAATTGAGAATCTGAGGGAGTTATGCCGCGAAGAATCTGTCCGAGATAAATCGAGTTCTCATTGATGGAAGAGAGAACTTGAATCGACAGCTAATGCTTTGCGGAGTGAGATCGATGAGGAATTACTTTTTCGTCTTTATTTATTGCGACAGCACGGAATGCCCGCGTGAAAACGTTGCAACTTTGTGGTGTGAAACAATAGCAGTTTTTCTGTATGGTGGTTTTTTTACATATAAAATGTTTCTCTCTGCGGGAAAAAATGTACTATAAAGATGGATTATACCTCGAGCGGTTGAGTGTTTGCTGGTTATTTTTATTAAAAATATTCAATCTCGACGTTATTTTTATCTATTAAAAATACACAGGTCCGCTTTTGCTTGTAGCGAATTAAAGTTGCGAAGTTTTCACGATGAATCCGAGAATGTCATGGCCCGTGTGATAGCGCGAGTTGCTTCGTCGTACAACACGCGACTTAATTTCGCTTGGCAAAACTGTATCCGTGATGCGAGAGTCCTTTTATTTTGTATTACTGTCCCTAAGATTAGTGTTACTGACTGTGTAGTCTCGCGATAACGTAGCTGTATTATTCATTATTCACCATGATTGCCATATTGTTGTAAAATTAGCTTAATACACAGACAGCCGGTAGAAGCTATTGTGACGAGTAATATATATATAATTATACATACAAATATATAATTATACATATATAAAATATAGAGATACGTATTAGTTATACTACTGCTAAGTCATACTTTTATGTGTGTATGCGTGTGACCGCGTGGATGGATGGATGGTACGTATGTGTATAAGCATTTCTAGTCATGTAATCGCACCAAAAAAAAAAAAAAAGAAAAACATAACAACTAAACGTAACAACTAAATGTCTACGCGTACATGTACATACGTACACGTGTATACCTGACATTGTTCGCTCATTTTAGTTGTGCATAGCGTGTCCCAGACCCGTCGAGAAATACTTTACGGACGAGTTTTGCGACGAATTTGAAGTCGACTCAGCGGAGATAAATTAAGTCGGGAATAAAAGAGCTGTCATTTAATTACCGCATTATATTTAAAATATAAAAGCTCTTTTCACACGAAGCGATCGATGACAAATATGCTTTGTTTTTCATCGATTCTACAATCGAGACTTAAAAAGCTGAAAATTGCAAAATTGGTCGGAACGTTCGTAAAATAATTCCTGGTAGATCTGATGCATCCTGTATACAGTATAATTGCGAGTATAATTGCGCGCTTCTCACGTACGAGGAAAGGGAAAGGACTGCGATTGATCGAGACACGACGTGAAGGATCACGTCAACCTCTTAGAGACTGTGAGCCGTATAAACGTTGCATTTCTAAGCAGATTTTCTACCAGAGATTACTTTTTATCTGATCTACTTATTTTTTTTATGATTGTATTTTTTTATCTGTCGGTTTTTTTTCTTTTCTTTACTGTCGCGAGAAGAAGGAAGTCGGAGAGAACGTGGCTAGGCCGCCCTGAAGGGCTCGCGTTCGCGAAAGAAGTCGAAAGGGACGACGAGGATTCTTTCGAAGATACACGGCCTCCCGGTGAAAATTCACTATAATGACGACTATAATGCGAGGCGAGGTGAAATTTACTGTGCCGATAACAGCCGCGACACATTCGCTATACATCCTATCATATAAAAAAAAAGTGCTCTCTCTCTGCCGTTATCACGGTTGAAAACGAGCGAATTACAGTAAATTGTGTGGGAGGATTAATTATAGCGTTATATCGTAATTATAATGATTAATGGTAATTATTATAACACACTGATAATGATAAAGATAACTACAAAACAAGTGAATAATGACATTTAATTGACGATCAATAATCAAGAGCGCACGTATTTCATGATGCATTCATAGTTTAATAATCATTATTTGATTTCTGTTGTGAAAGAACGTGTAAGAATCTTATTACGAGGGGGACGATCAACAGGGGAGAAAAGGGCGAGCGTTACACAAAAGATTAAAATAAAAAAAAGAGTGAAACGTCTCATTATATAAAGTTACCACCATGAAGGAGAACCTTTCATTATATAAAATTATTATGTAATAATTGTCCATACATCTTAAAATGTCAGAATAAACTAATAATGAAAAAAATTATCTATGTTTATTTCTTATTTATTCCTTCTTATTTATTTCTCATTTATTCCCTATTAAACATTGGGAAAATTGTTATGTTATGATAATTATTATATTCTTGCGATCTGCTAATTTTGTGATTTAAGCAAAACGATCAAGCATCTTTATGTATCGTCTAATAATGGTTTAAGGTTTTAAAAATAAATAAATAAACAAAGATTTTATTAAATTTACGTTTTTAAAATACTTTATAAATTCTTCTGAATGAATTAAAATGTATTTAAATGTTTTCTCTACGAAGGATGAATCAACTGCCAGTTTTATTCACATGCGGGTGTTGATTAAATATAATAGCCTTGATAAAAAAATATGATTTTTTAACAAGTTGCATTGAGACAAATTAATTGCAGCTTTTACATAAAATAATAAAGCATTTTTAAATATTTATATTAAAAAATATTGAAATGCACAAATTATTTTAAAAATGCTTCAAAACTGTTATTATCTTTGCCAATTTGTAAATTTCTTTGTGTATGAAATTCTCTCTTAATTTGTGCGAAATCAACATAATTTTTTTTCACTACATAAAAAATTTAAAATAATTAATTTATTTAACTAACTATAAATATTTATTCAAAATGAAGATAAACTTTATTTTTTATAAATAAATAGCAGATTTATTATTTTTAAAATATAACATAAGTAATTAACCGTTTAAATTTATTATATATATCTTTGTCTCTTTGAACATCCCATATACTTCATTCTGTTATAAACTGATTAATTTTCGATTGACAAACAAGGATCTAGATTTATCGAGTTGTTAGACGAATAGGTTCATCATTGATGTTGAGTTATACTTCGACTTTAATGAAATCATAACCTTATATCCTCGAAAATTCTGTTTAATTTAAACTACATATAGAAATACGAAAAGAAATCTACTATTTTCGAGGTGCACATTACGAGAGTATTTAATTCATTCAGTTGGAAGCTTGTGGTTGATCTATTTGTTCCGTTAAAGATTACGACATGTGCGTCACGTCAAGACTTAAGATAGACTGTGTGCTCGATGCCGTTTTGCATTTAAAATGAGCTCGGCAAGTGATAACAATGTCGCACCAGATAATCTAACATGTCACCAGCTCATTTGTATCCTTTCAAGATTCTTTGGATAACATTGCAGGTATCTTCTGATATCGTTTGGCAACTTCATTTTCTTTAGGATTATACGATAAACTTTCATAAGATTTATTAATTATTTCAACATAAATATAGTATAAGTAGAACAGATTTATAAAAATAAGCAATTACTGACTATCCTATTATAAATCTTGACATCGTCGTAAGTAATTGAATTATATACTCAGATGGTACTCCCATTAATTGGCCCTCATCCTACTTCCCCGCATTTACACCCCTACATATCGGAGTTTCGATACATTCCCCAGTATCATCCATCGAGGAATCCTGACTGCACATCACGATGGCTCCAACGTGAGTTTTATAATGACCGATTTGAGCACGAGGATGGTCAACGTTCCTCGTTCAAAGAACCACTTATCAATCAAGATCACCCATGGATCGAAATTAGAGCTGTTTTGGTTCATTGTTCACAAACATGGAAAGAAATGTAGTCAAACGCAATTTAAATTAAAATTATTGGAGTAGAATCATCCATAAAGTAATTGATTTTAATATTTTTAATTATTAATTGATAGCAGAGAAACATCCCGTAGGCAATCGATACAAAATTGCAGAAGAAAAGTGATTATTAGCATGAAAATTAACAATGTTGGAAAGGTATTGTTAAATATACATTAATTTATCTAAATAGTTCAAATTATTATTTCAGTTTAAAAATCGTATTATATATATATAATTATAATTTTTTTTTAAGTTTTGGCCTTCATCGTAAATAATTATTATAAAATAACATATTCCATTAGACAAACACGCAGGAAGAATTCGTGTTGGTGGATCATGTATTGGATCCGCTAAAAATGCGTAAAGTTCGATTACGTAATCCGTATGTCATAAAAGTCCGTCAAGAATCTCTGTTACATTTGTATGGACTAAAATTTCAAGGCGTAAGTGTGTACATTAATTAATTTATATCAGTTTAATATATATGACAATCTTTAATTGATAATATCACCGTTTTAGCAAATTTAAAAAATTGCAAATTTGTAAAAAAATAAAAAAATGGGAGTTTCATTGCTAATGATGTAATAATACTGGACGAAAGTATTTTTCTATAAAAATTTTTCGGATAAATTATCAATTAAATTCGTCAAAGATTTGTTGATTGAGGTCGACAAAATAGTTTCCATTAATGTAATCTGGGTTATCTACGTTTGATACACAAATGAGTATTAACTGATGATAAATTCGCGCTGTTTTAATTATCCGCGTACTTATATAATAAAAATTGTGTTCGGCTTGGACGTTCATATATACTGTGAACTTCACATTCTTTATCGCTCATTACATATGGAAGAAAGACTGAAGCTTACAGAATGAGCGTCCAAACCGATGCAACCAGAAAGCGAACTTTTTCCCTATACGTTGATCGCTTTGGAATAAGGTTGTCAATGCAGAGGCAAGAGAAGAAGTCATTAATAATCATCGAGCAAACTTTACTGGATGTAATGATGGTCCAGATAACCCAACTTGCGGTCAAATGTTAGTTAATGAAGAGCCAATACCACTTAGTCAAGTAAGAGTAACATAAAAAAGCAAATATATTTACATAAAATATCTATACAAAAAGCATTTGTCAATATTATTTAAATCAAAGAATAATTTTGTTGAATTCAAAATTATATAATCAGGATTTATTTTATTGTACAAAAGTTTTATTTTATTTTCAATAAAAAAATGATAGATGAATGACAGATTTTAAAAGTAGAAAAATTTTAAAAGTACAACTAAAGGAGGACGTCTTTATTCAAAACAAATAAATTAAATAAGAAGCAAACTGACATCAGTAAAGATAAAAAAAAGATAATAATTATATAAATTTTAGTAAAATAATTTTAAATTAATTTTTCTTAAATATTTGTACAAGTATATCAAACAAAGCTTAATTAAAAAAGTTATCACGAAGGTATTATACGGCCATAGTTATATAGGTATAATAGTCCTTCCTAATATTTCTGTTATTAGACAGCGAATTGTAATGATTATTTATATTTAAAAAATTTTAGTAATGAGTCCTATATGGAAGAAATTGTGTATATACATTTGTGAATGTATATTTGCATACATTCTTCAATATTTTATCTTTTTACAAATATAAAATTTTATAACCAAATACTGTTTTTTAAAATAAAACCAATTTTTAAAATCTGTTTTTATGAGAGGTCACATTACCACATTTGTTTCTCTTCAACTCATTATACAATATCGTCACATTCTTATGAATAATGTCGTAAGTAATTACATATTTCATAGTCTTTGAATCTAGAATCGATGGAACAATACTTTGACGAATGTAAGCTGCGTTCTATTGTTCACTGTGAGTAGTGAAAATTTATAGTATACGTAATACGAACTATAGAGTTTCAGTGAATAACGGAACGCAGTCATAATCATTAAGTTTTAAATGTAAATATTGATTATTAATAAAGTTATTGTATAAAATGTAAATGAATGACCATAATATCATCTTTTTCACTATACATTATGATAATATATTAATTTAGAATTCAAATTGTTATCTATTGTTTCTATGTTACGCATTACTAATTAATATTTGCATTTCACTGGTCTCGTGTGTTACACTTAATGAAGCTATCATTACTACTAAATATTTTTTAATTATTATAACGATCAAATCAAACTGTCCTAAAGGACAAAAATAATTTTGAGATGTGCCATCGTTTACACGACAATCTATTCAAACTTCCCCGACAATGGCGAGCCATTTAATTAAACTTTAGGCAAGTTATGTCCCTGCAGTAAGAGCCGTGCGCAACAAGACAACGGATCGCTTTCAGGGTTTCTGCTGTTCTTGTGAGGACGCGCAGCGTGCCGAAAGTTTCCGCTCGGTCGCCGCCAAGTCAAACTATTACCAGCGGGACGATGGCACAAACGGAGCTCGCAACAGGTCCGTGTCGAGCGCAAATTTATTTGACAATTCGGAGGCACAGCGCCAGGTCGAAACGAGGAGCAGGAACGAAGAGCACAACCGCCAACTTGAGAACGACGCGTTAGGACGAGTAACGAGCCGCAATACTTCCGCCGTTAATGGCCCACTTGGCGAGCAAGCGTCTCCTTTTCGGAAACAACAAGAAAAAGAACAGTTTAAAAACAATTCGGTCCGACAGCGCACTCGACCACTTGAAGGATTTCCCAGGACGGAGAACGCGAATCGCGCGGAAACCCTACCGTCCGTACTGACGAACGTGTTCTCCGATCCATCGCCGAGCAAGGGCAAGATTGAGGCTTATATTGATGCCATGTACGAGCAAGCCATGAAGAAGAAAGCCATGAAACAAGCTATAAAACACAAAAGCGATAAGGATTTATTGGACAAAAACGATTTATCAGCTAGACGTCTTGACGATTTGAAGGACAGATTTCGAGAATTGGATCAACGGACCTTCGATCGACAGACCAGCGACGACCAATCTTCGCTTTATGAATCAGTTACGGATAATTTTCAAAATACAATTACAAAATTCACAAATACAATCGATTATGGGTCTAACAAATTAAAATCTCCGCAATTCCTTGATCATCAGAGCGATAATCGATCTTTGATTCAAGGATTAGCTGCGAATAGTCCTCGAGCGAAACTAACGAGGTTGAAAGGTGAACAGGGTTTTGTGAAAATGGGCAGCAAAGAGGATAATCGGGAGTTTCTGAAGCTGGAGAAGTGCGATAGGTCGGTGAATTTTTCAGAAAGTGGAATTCACGAGGAAATGGCAAGAGATCGATTTCGTGGCGCAGCTCACCCAGAAAATACTTTCGATTACACATCGTCCCTAGCAATACACTCGTCACGAATTCCGGAAGAGAGTCAATTTTCGAGACGAAAGGAGAAGAATGCGTTCTCCAACGGTGATAATGCGCTGCTTAATAACGGAAGTATTCCCACGACCATTGAATTTTTTATTCGGCCCGGGATTTCGTTCAGAAACGATACTGATGAGAATATTAATTATGGTATCGCGTCATCAACAATAGAATCGAATAGTTTCGAGGAGAACATATTCGCGTTATTATCTAAAATTGTGATATCGGAAACGCGCTCGTCGACGGAAGGTGAAGAGAGACAATGTGGATTTAGAACGTCGGAGAACATCTCGGGTAACATTAACGCGTTGAGAAACGCTTCGATCGTGAGGAAGAACTTAAGTGCAGCCGCGATTCGAAGAGGTAATGCAAGCAATAAGGAGATGACGGAAAATGCTAATGTATCGACGCGAATCTCGACCGCTCCTACTTTTACGAAATTACGAAATCTCTCCTCTTTCAATGGAATCTCGCGGCTAGAAGAATTATCCGTGTCCACCGTCGCCGCTCGTTCCGCAGATAAATCATTGACGAAAATCCTGGAATCAGAAATTCGCGGTTCGTTACCAACCAACGAGATACAAGAATTTCCCTACGACTTCGAGGATTTATACAAAGACCGAGAATCGCACAGAATGTATAACTCGCCCGAGCGAGCGCCAAAAGACGTGAACTTGAAAAACAGTTACAAATTCTGGAAGACCCGCCGGAAGTTGCGGAAGTCGAAGGGCGCCGAGAAGTTTCGCGGAGACAAGGACGTTGTCGGAGAGAAGTTGAAGCGCTTCGGAAAGTCGGGTCGTGGACTGACGCGGAAGCACGCGTTGTTGGACTTTAAACGCGACAGTTTTCGGAACAAATTTTCGGAGCACGACAGACGTTTTCGAAGACATCTTCAAACCGGAAAGGAAGTTTTTAATATTGTAGACGCTCACAATCGGAGCAACAGTCTGACAGATGAAGCCTCGCGCCGCAAAACGCAAGGCTTTATTGATTATACTCGACCTGAGGTTTACTCTAAGAAAATATCAAATACTGGAGGTAATAAAAGTCCGAAGAAACAAGTGATTTTGGAATCCGATCATTCTCATAGGAAAGTCCAATCCGAAGAGAACGATAATCCCTTCTACTTCAATAATAAAGATGGCGAAAAGAACAGCGTTGATAAGCGGATCGAGGACAAGTTCATGCGAATAAGCAACGTCCTGAAGGAAGATTCTACCGAGGAAGACTCTACAGAAATTATTCAAGAAACTCCGAAGAATTTCAAAGTAGTTACAAAGAGCGAAATCGCAAAAGCTGATATCCCTAAAATTCAGGATGAACTAGGACACAATTCGCTTTCGCGAGAAAATGGTAGATCGGGCGAGCTGTTTGTGATTCATGGCAATAAACCCGTAGAATTAATTGATAAATGTCAGCGATCAACTGTGAATGAAAATTCGTTCGTGGAATCTACGATGACAAACAATGAAGTTACAACGATTATATCATTAATTACGCGAAAAGATTCCACCGATTATAAAGGATCCGTCTTTCTCAAACTCGTTATCAATCCTTTTCTGTCATCACCGATTATGAGGAAGCTTAATGTCTCAAGAGAAGTTAATCTTAATGAATCAAAAAATTCAATTTATACAACCGAATTCGCAATGAGGCAGACGCAAGTTTTCACGCAGAAAATTTTGTCGGATACTTCATGGAACGAGAATGTCAGTGGCTATTTCGAGGTCACTGGTGATCCACTTAGAACATTATCTAGCAGTTGGGCGAATAGTTCCAAGAAAACGACGTATCCTGAAGCATTGAACAATCGAAGCGAAGGCGAGCGAGTTGAAACGAAGAACGCGAGATTCCTCGAACTTAATAACAACTCTCCGTGGATAATTGCTGGTAATTCCATGAAGCCTGAAGGCTCGCCAATCGACCCGATGCTTTCATCACGCGGTAGTGCATCAGTTACTGAACCTGAAGAAATTTCGTTGAGCAGGAAAAGAACAGATTTTTATTGTACCAAAGAACCGCTTCTGGAAAATTCGGAAGATTTCCTAGAAAGATCCCGAGAGAAAGAGGAAATTGCTAATCTAGTGGATCGGATCGTGAGACAATACGCAGTATACACGCCCATCATGCCGGGCATGCCGACCTTCGACGAAATCACGGAAGCGGAAACCTTACCGCTTGAAGAAGAGACGACAGTCATTCAGTTCACGACGACCTTGGCGACTACCACCAAGATCACCGACGTGGCTTTCCGACCTTCGATCCGTCCGCTGAAAACGACACCACTTTCAGAAGAGATACATGATGAGATCTCTCTGGACGAGACTACCTTTATGGAGGAAACGGAAGCAACAACAACCACTCATGAAATGACTGTCCTTAAACCGAAATTTCAATCTAGAAGGCCTCGCGTGAGCACTTCGTCCAAAGCAAAAACACGAAGAATGTCGAACAAAACTGAGAAAAACGGGAAACAACAGAAAATTACCAATTACGTTGCAAACATGAAAATGATGGATGCGGAAAGGGAGGTTGAGGAGCACCCTTGGTATCGCACTACAGAAATGCAGCAGATAATCGCAGCGAGTCGATCTAAACCTATCCAGAAGATTAAAGAAAGAAGGAAGCACCGCTACAAATCGGGAGATTATTTTCAGAACACTTCCTCAGGATGGACTTCATCAACGATAATTTCTTCCGGTGTCGCACAGACGAGAGGCAAGAGATCGGACTTTAACCGCGCGGCAGGCAATTGCGATTCCTTGATCTTCTACGACTACGACAGCGAAGATGAAGAGGCTCAGCGAAATGGAAGAACGGGTTTGAATAAAAACGGAAAGTCTCCGAATATAACAGAGCTGGCTGAATTACGTTCTAGAATTGAAAAAAGATTAGCCGGCGAATTGGATTATCTTGCGAGTCGAGGATCCTCTCAACGCAGTTGCGAAAATCGAGATGAGATACAAAAGCTCAATGCTGCTCTTCAAGATATTGTAAGACGTAATGTTAGGTTTCATACCGTTGAAGGTAATCTCGATTCGCATGTGCAAGAGAAGAAACGAGATAGGCAAGATAATCTGAAGAACTTCACCGTTATAAAGCTGAAAAACGGCACAGTTCGTAAATTCGACAAAGACATTTATTCGCGAAATCGTGAAATTACATTGGTATCGTTCGATACTTCGCCTGCAGGCCCGACAAAAATTCCACAGTTACGAACGGACCTTTCCGGATCGGTGCGCGAAAAATTGGAAATAGATCGGAGATCGGAAAAGGCGTTCGGTGAGCGAATGGAGACTGAGATCGACAGAATCGCGGTGGTGCGAAAAATCGCGGTGAACGTGTCGGAGAACGCAAGAACCGCTAGTGTGAGCGCGAACGATTTGTCGGATCGCGGCGTAGAACCACAGGAAAAATCATCCGTGGGTGGGATATTACCGACTTGCGCAAGAAGTCTCGGATACCAGGACAAAAGTCGTGAAACGGATACTGTCATTCGCGGTGTGAAATTGATGATACCGAACGATAAGGGCGAGTCGTACGAGCTCGACGTTGCGGCTAAAAGTGTCGATAAAAAGATCTCGCCGCTGTTCTCCAACAGTCTCGCACGACAACGGGGACACGAGGACACGAGGAAGATTAATGAAAATCTTGCAGATTCTCGAGTAAGCCGCGTTTCTGCCGGGAAACAATACCTTCGATATCCTCGAGGCAAAGTGCATGACATTGTCCGTAAAATAATCAATAAGATCAAAGGGAAGTCATCGTCGGTATCGGATAAGGCAAACACCGAGAAGAGTCTCGTAGAAAGTGAGAAACGTGTTGCTCGATTGGGTTGGCATCGATCGGGTAGACGATTGTTGTCGAGTGGAGGATCTGACTATATCGAGAATATCGACAACGTCAACGACGAATATTACGCGAACGATGAAAGTGAAACAGATCGAGAGAATGACTCGAGCGATAATGAAGCTATTGCCAGGAGGGATGATTTATTGTATCTCGAGAATCCGCCTGGTCGGCGCGAGAATCGAAATCCGCGGAAATTGGTGGCCAAGATGGATCGATTGGCATACGGGAAATGTTGCACGACCTATGATGCAGAAGGAAAGAACAGTTGCTGTCTATGATGAAGCGATACTCTCCGACGATATGCAGGCGAATAGCGAAGAGGCAATTTCAAGGTTTTTAATACTAGATATTAATTTTGATACAGCCGGGATTCTCATTGACGCAGAATTCCTATTATGTAGTACTCTACACTGAAGAAAAATTACTAAATCTTAATACATATTTCTTTGAATAGTACTAAGTAAGCATTTATTTACAGTAAATAAATATTTACTTAATAAAAAAAATAGTCAAATCAAATTAATAGTTTTTGTATCAAATAAATATAAATATGTTTAAATTTATTATAATAAATATTTACTCAGAATTACTCAAACAAATATTTATTAAAAATTAATATTTGTTTCAATGTACATGTATAGATTAATTAATATCCTTTTTCTTATTTTTTTATATGGAAACGTTATCTGTGCATAATTTTTTATAACTTCGTATAAATTCTCAAAAGTTGATTACATATTAATATTATCAAACATTTGATAATACTACTGACTATTAATGCTTTGTAGCATTATTAAAATTATTTGATGAAAACATGGAGAAGCAACGTAGAAAATCGAGGAAAATTCATTTTATTATTAAAAAAATTCGTGTAATTATTAATAAGCAGTGCAGCGTAGCAAGCTGTTTTATAATTTCACAGTTGGCCTGGTTGTCTGTCCGTCCGATTGTCCATCTGCAAAATTTCTCAAAAATGAATTAATTTTTTCAAATTCCGTTTTCAGCAATAGATACTCCAGGACCTTAAACGCCACCAAGACAAAATATGAATTAAATTAGTTGACTGAAAAGGAATCAAAATTAAAAGATTAATGAGATTTTCAGTATAAGAACAAATCAAACGGATTAATTTGATCAAATATCTGATTTTTCGCTGCACTACTTCGTTATGTTTGTTGCAACGATTTATTTTAAGTGATATAAAGATTCAATACAAAAATAATACTTATTTAACTATCTATATCCCTGGTAGAAATTTCATGCATTTTTTTAGCAGTTACTGAACAGTTACACCAATTTCTGTCTAGTAACTAAGAAGGAAAACTACTTAGGATCCCAATCAGGATGTAACGCTTTGCTTGCAGTTATTGCGTACAAAAGTTGCGTAAAACTGAATCCATTTACTGAATAGAAACACAACAATAATGTTTATTAAATTGGTTAATAAGCGAGCCAACTGCTCATGAAATGGACAGTTTTATTGGACTAGTAATATTTCATATTTTGTGCATGCTTGCTAATTGTAAAATTTTAAGATTATGAGAGTCATAATACAGGAAATCTTTTGTGCATAATATATTTTGTACTAAAAATAGCATAATATAATATATATTATAGATCAAAGATTTTCTGCATTATGACTCTTATAAACTTAATATGTACCTTATTTGTCTTTTGCTTACTTTTAACCCTAACTGTAGTTGTCATTTCTGTCACAAAATTTTGCCCTTATTTCCAAAAATCCTTATTTCCTCTTCCTTTTCCTTATTCTATGTTTTTCTACGCGTTCACTCATTAAACTTTACACAGTTTTAAAATCTTTTAATATATACTTTCTTTTAACTTTTATACACATCAAGGGATACTACTTATATTTTGAGCCTTGGCAACACTGAGTGTTGTCAGGTGCCATCTGACGTTTCCACTAGAAAGTTTGACATTTTTGACCATAACCTTCTTCAGAACGTTTTGTTATTT